GCTTATTCAAACGCAAAACTCAGAGCAGTCTTGTATGATTTTGGTCACCATAACCTTCAAAAGATCAAACAAGGTCACTGACCTCAAATGGGCTTTTGACCCTTTGCTTAGAAACGGTTTCCTAGGTTCTGGGGTCACTTTGGTGATCAACCTAGAATTTGACCTTATTTGGCCCGAAGGTCATGACCTAGGAAACTCAAGCTTTGACTTAAGTGAGTTCACCCGCAGGTCAAGACACCCTGCAAATTTGGTGTCTCCAGCTTTCTTAGCTCCCGAGATCTCAGGGGGGGGGGGGTCAAATTGACCCCCCCTACTCGAGCGAAAGGTATCTAGCCGGCCACCTGGGCGCGTGTTAACATCCAAAGCCTGGCAAGCAGTCAGCTTGTTACGCAAACGACCCGGTGCACGCATTAACCATTGGCCACATGTGAACTTCGATCGATTAACGAACATGGCAGACACGCACCTGTGATTCCTTACACGTGAGGACAGGTATATGAACAAATGACAAGCGTACAAGGCCTCCAATTCTGGCACAAAATTACTCTCGCATCTACCCGGTTGCATGCACGCCCAGAGGAGCAAACCATTCCGTCGCTTATCAACAACACCTTGAGGCGACCCCGCCACTGGAAAGGCTCCAGAAGGAACGGATCCCCGTTCTCAATCAATCAGCTCCGTTCAAACTCCACAAACACCTACAATGGTTACCAAGCCTGAGAGCGGCCAATGAATCCCGCTAATACCACTGAGCAAACATGGAATGGTCGGGAGCAGCCCGGCTGAGCACGAACCGCGGCTATTCGGAGAACCCCGCCGCCTCGTCAATACACCATCCCCCCTGGCTGCCGGTGGGACCAGCCGCCGCTGTCCTGCCCCGCCTGGCAGCGGCGGCCTATTACCACCCGACCAGCACGACAGCGCGACGTGGGTACGCTCGGCGTCCCGCCGCGATCGAGATCGCGACAACTTGGCGACAACACACGGCAGGACGGAGAGCCGACAGCTTCTGGCTGGCTGGGCGACAGTCTGCTGTGTGATGTACTGCCCACGACCTGACTGCTGTCTGCTGCGCTGTCCATAGTCTGGCCGCTGTCTGATGTGCTAGCCACAACCTGACGGCTGTCTGATGTGCTGCCCACAGCCTGACTGCTGTCTGATGTGCTACCCACAGCCTGGCCCAGCTTTTGCGGCTAAGAGCCCTGAGGCACAGCACATGCATATCAATCAAGCAGGAGTCTTCAGGGATGATGAATCGCTCCCAGTAAGTGTAAGTCCAGAGTGCAAAGCCGCATACACCAACTACCAATGGCACTGCTGGCACTGCATATAAGGCACTGCCGTCACTTCAAAGGGTTACCTCGTTTGTCGTCTTCTTTGCCAACCAGGACTACTAAAAAATACGTGTCATATCACGTGATAATACGACTGAACCGGTTCAACTGGGCCGGTCTTGACCACCATGCCTGACCAGCCACAGTTCACCGTCATGCATCATGTCAACCAGTCACCCAGCCAGGGAAACAGTACAGTCTCACGGCACAGAAGGCTCCACCTTACTGTCTTGCTACGCCCTACTTGGCCCCCGGGGCTTACCGCATATTTCAATGCATACTCGCTCTGCTCCCTTCATGGTCCGGGTGATTCATCACTGGCTTTGCTCATCCTTGCTGGCCAATTACCTGAGGGGATTCATGAGCGAGGCCCGCGGCTTGTGAGTCAATGACTCAGTGTTAGCCTTTAAGTGCGGAAAGCTGCGCAGGGTTGCTGACACTTATGAAGCAACGCAACTGCGCGCCCTCATAGGCGCACACGCATTTGAAGAGGGTTCTCTGAAGATCTTTCCGATGGATTCAGCGACCGAACATCAATAATGAGTCACTGAACCACTGGCCTCTGACATGAGTCATCACAGCCCCCATAGCATACGAGGATGAATGCAAGTCATTCATGAATCACCCACACTTTGAATCACAATGAGTCAACAACAGTTAACATAAACTAAGCGTCATCCATACCCGGAATGAATCAGAGATTCAGCAATGGCGACGTTGACCGATGCATTACCCGCAGCGGGCAAGGAATCAAGTCGAGCGAACGTCGCCGCATCAAGAGCTGCGTAAGCTTCATCACAAATTGTCACGCGCAGCCAGGTTCAACGTACTGAGGCATTGTTCAAGAAATGGTGCGCGACAGAGGATGTGCTCTTTACTAAGTGCTTGGCACCTCCAGTAACCCAGAAACTGAATAACAAAGAACGACTGTGCTATCCTCGCCATCGATTCACTAAACTGAATCAGACAACAGGTCACTGACGGACAAAATTCATAGTCACAGCAAGCGATCCGCCGGTCTCACATTACATGAAATTATCGCGGAAACAAAGGACAGTTGTGTTCGCTTTACGGCAGTTCCTGAGAAACATTGCACCGCGAATGAGCATGAGCCCACCATATATTGTAGAAAACCATGACGCATCGCCAGCAACAGCAACAGCGAAGCACAGAGCGGTCGCGCCACACCCCGGCAACTGAAATGGCCGAACCCGTTTTCATTTACTCTCCCATGTAACATCCCACAGCTCAGCCACTGCACAGCGGAACCCGCGTAAACCACCCTACCAGAATGGACATACGCCAAAAAGAAATGTCCTGAAGTGTACGTAACTGAATGGAGTATATGGGTGGGTGAAAACTGCCGGGCATACGCTGCACTGAGCGGCCCGGGACGTCGCGGCTTCGGCGAAATCGCACGCCCCATTGACAAGGGCCGCGGATCCCGTGCCAGGCGCCAAACACAACCCGGATTTCCGCAGAATCCTACAGATACACGCAGTACATTTAGGGCTCTTAACGGAGGATCAACGAACAAGGCTGGGGATGATTCAATGAATCTGAGACGGCGAGCACGCTGAGTCAGGTCGAATGACTACTTGAATGACTTCATGGATGGCTTCATGAATGACTCATGACTCTATTTCGCTTCTTGGAAAAGCTGACAACCCCTCGACGTAGAGCGCGATTCGTTCTCGCGATTCAAAAGATCCGCCAGTAATGACCTGACTAGAAAACCGTTTCGATCCAAACTTAAACCTAGCGTGGGCGTAGTACCTGAATACCACGTGCATAAGCGGCGATATTTCAGGAGTATTTTGTTTCGTACGCTTGAACAACTCCTACTGGGATAGCATTTTTCCTGGTCCTAAGAATAACAAAGGTAGGAAACTGGTGTACCCAATCCTTTCGGCACGCCCACTAATAAGCAAGCAAACGCACGCAGCTGGAAAGCACCGAAAGAAGCCCACCAGTACGCAAATCTTCGGAGAAGCCTCAAGAAGAGCAGGGGCGAGCCGGCCACGTTCGCAGAAGCCCCGAAGCGGCAGGCGCGCTGGCCGACCGCCAACGTCAGCACACGGCGGCTCACGCGCCGTTCGGGGTGGGCGCAGAAGTCACTCTCGGAAGGGGGACGGTGGTGCTTCCCGTCTCAGCCGCGGCTGGAGACCGGCCAGAGCCGAGACATCGGCACACGGCCACGGCGGCCCGTCAGGGGCGGGGGGGACGGGGGGGGGGGGCGGTGCCTGACTCAGCAGAAGAGCTGACGGCGTAGAACCAGGCCACTCACGCTGGTACCTGAGGCCGATCGATACATGACCGCGGTCAAGTCGTCGGCAGAACACGTCGGCTTCATCGGCGACAGCATGGGAGAAACGTGAACAAAATGAAATCGACTGTTCCGCCCGGGTTTTCACCCAGGCGTATTGCCTCAATCAACGTGCAAGGTATCAGCTACCGTTTCTCATTGAAAGCATGACATTCGCGTTCCATGGGCGCTATATGACCCAGCAGTCGAAGCGCCCGAAAACCCCAATTAGTACTACTACTGCATTGCACCTGTAATAGAACCAAAAAAGGACGTTTGGTGGGAGAACATGGTGGCGCTAAATGAGGGACAGTTTTGTGCCTGGCTACGTATGCAATTTAGCCCACGGACCATTAGCTGCTCATGTAGTTAAGATTGAAAACGGAAAAAGCCAATAGTTCAGAAGAATGTAGTTCCGCGAGACGACTAACGCCAAAAGGCTGGGAATGCTCTAAAACGTAGATTACCTAAACCGTAGGTATCAATATCCCGTCACTGGCATATTTACAGAATTCCCTTAAAGCACGTTAAAGCTGACAGGCAGCCACAAAATTCCTAATCCTTTCAATTCAAAGCTCGATTACGTCAGCCCCGTTCCCATGGGAACGAACATGCGGCAAACATGGCCACCACCACGGGGCGGTCACCGGGGCCGGCGGGATCAATTAACATTCCACCGGGACCCGTGCCTGTGGGTGCTTTTCGGCGGCCGGCGCGGCGGGGCCCGACCCCCACGAAAAAGGTCGGTCCGCTGGCAGACGCCGTTGAGAAAAACAGCCGGCCGTGCGGACGCGGCCGGCCGGCGGGTGGCGCACGGTCTCCCGAGCGCGCCCTCTCCCTCCCCTCCCATCCGCGCCGGCGTCCGCGCTGGGGCGCGGGGAGCGTGAGGGCGGGAAGGGAAGGATGGGGACGGGAGGGAAACGGCCGGCGGTCGGGAGCGGGGCCGGCCAGCCACGTTTCGTTTCTGCCACCGACGTCGCGAATAGTCGCGAATAGCACACAGCTTTCCGCCGCCAGGCCTCCCTTCCAGGTCCCGATGAGCATATAACCCGCGGGTCGCCATCTCCCGACGCAGAGGCTGGGGGTGGCTCATCGAGGCGGATAGCGACAGCAGGGCCGCGACTGAGCGAGGCACGTGCTCGGGCGTCGCCTCCCGCAGACTCCCGCGGCGATACAACACGAGCGATCAGGACGTGCACGACACGTTCAAGTGCAGCATGCAAGAAGTCGTCTTGGAGAGACATCACGGCGAGACATCCCACGGCGACTGCACGCAAGACACAACACCCAGGATAGCACTCGCCCCAGCACGGTCGTCTCTCATCCACATCCGCATTCCGGACAGCGACATGAGGACCCACCTGTCCATCTTGAACTGCCAGTAGCCGGGCTTGTCGACCGGCACGTAGGTGAAGTCGCCCGAGTACTTGGCCGGGTCGGAGCCGCCCAGGATCAGCTCGCCGCCCTCGGCCGCGTGCGGGTCCCTGCCGGCCGGAGCGGCTGTACTGCCGGTCGCACACGTCGCCACAGACAGCGTGCACGCGCCACACGCGGGAGCGCGCGTACGCGGCGCCGAGGCCAGCGGTGTCCACGCCGTCACCCGACGCGCACCTGACGTGTCCCCCAGCGGTGCCGGCGGAGAGAGGTCGCGCGAGGCCTGCCGCGCTCCGCGGGGTCTCGGCGTCGGTATGCGTCAGTGGCGTGCACCGTGGCAGCACGCGTGGCAGCGTGCATGCGGTGTGGCGTCGGTATCCACTCTCCAATCAGAGACGCGACGCAGCTCAGTGACACCATGCTCCGGTCACACATGCTGCGGCTTGATTGCCACTGAAGAGATCAGCTGTTTCATCGCATGGCCCACTGAAGGTAGAGACGCAGACATCGTTCCGACGCGATTTCACCGCTGCAGCTCGTCCCCGTGACATTCAAAGAGCGCGCGTGCGAACACTCGCCGGAGCGGCTGCAAAATGTCAGACCACTCGCCTCTCGCCTGTGACAGACAGACAGACACGCTCCGCGCAGGTCACGCCGTAAACATCCTGTTATCGACACGCGCGCAGCGGCCCAGAGACACGCGACCCCGCACAGCCCGGTCAGACAGCGGCGACCTCTCGTGCCTACGCGCTGCTGTCACACGGCCATAGTGGGGTACAATCATAGGTGAACTCGCCCTTCCCCCGCCCCTCCCTTTCGAGGGTAGACTTCAAGTTGATTTCGCCCGCGCCACAAAGGGAGGCTAGAATTCCACAAAAGCTCGCTGGAAGGAACGCTGAACGGAGGAAATGCCGACTTCTCGAAACCCGCGCCGCCGTGCCGTCCCGAACCCTCGTTCTACGTTCCGCCTCGGCAGGCAGGCGTGCCGCCGCGGCAGTCCGCCCCGGCCCTCCTGTCGCGCGCACCCACCTGTTGAGGTAGAACGAGAAGATGGCGTCGCCGACGGCCTTCTGCTCGACCATTTTGTTGAAGACGGGCATGACGCCGTCTACCGAGATGGTCGGGAAGGCCATGCCAAGGATGCCGTCGAACTTGGCCGCCACGAACGCCAGGCCCGGCTCGCTCAGCGCCTCGGCGAACGTCTGCTGCTCGACCTTAACGTCGCCCACCTGGACGGTCGCCCCGCGAGGTCAGAGTGTTGTCTCGGCCCGGTCGGGGATAATCGACGGGGATAATCTGTAATCTGATTATCTGATAATCAGGACTGTCTGTCCTTCGCACAACGTTTCTGGGCAAAGGCTGTGATGGCATTCACGCTGGTGCCGTGGCTGGCAGCGGGCAGCGCACGGCCTCTTCGCTCAGGCGCTTAGAAAATCCAAGTCATCATTACGGAGGATGTGAAATCAAACGGCGAACGGCACCGAAACAAAAAGTGGTTACGGGGATGGGCGGAGGAAAGACCGGGTGTGATTCCTCATTGAGGTCGCGGCGCTCGTCCAGAACGCGTTCAAGCGTTGTGCTTTGGTGTCGTGAAGCACAGCACATTTGCGGCCAGGCGAAATAGCAGCGCCGACACAGCCACCGAACACGAGGTCAGCGCGCGCTCACATGAACGGTATCGGTGGAGAGGAAGCCGGAGAGGCTGCCGCTGCCGTACTGGATGGCGAACTTGGTGTCGTTCTTCGTGTAGCTGCTCGACTTGGAGCTGTCATACTTGTTGTGCAGCACTGCCAGCGGGGAGACGCCAGTCACCGTCGGGCGCGCCGAAACCAGGGCAGGCGCGCCAAAAACGACCGCAAAAACCCGCCAGTAATCAGCGCAGCCGAGGACCATGCACGTCCGCCCCGGACGCGGGCGCTGCGCCCGCCCTCGCCGCGCAAAAAGCGTCTGGCGGAGGTCGGACGGCGACCCCGGCCGCATCCCGCGGCGCGCTCGTCGCCCTGGTAACGGGCGGGAGTGGGCGCCGGCGGTCGCCGCCCGCTGCCAGCGGCGTCCGCCGGCGTGCAGCGTTGTCTGGCGCGACCCCGCGACCTGGTCAGCACGACCCCGGCCGCGGATGTGCAGCTGCGGGCGAGCTAAAGGCCTACGCCGGGCGGGCTGCAAAGGGCAGGCTACGCTGGGCCGGCTATGCTGGGCGGGCTACGCCGGGCGGGCTACGCTGAGCGGCTACGTTGGGCGGGCTACGCTCGCGGTAGCCGACGTAGCAACAGAGGGCCTGGTGTCGGCCGGCTTTGGTGGGGTCTGCGCCGCCGCGCCGTCAGCCGTGACTGGGCCAGACGCACCGCGATGGATGGGGTCCGTTAGCTTGCCGTGACCGCATTCAAGCTGGGAGGCTTAGGTGCCTCCAATCATGCGGTCAGATCTGGATCTGACAGTCGGTTGGAAGACTCGGCATTACACGGGGATGGCCCGACTGCCCACTATTCAAACGAAATGATAACAGTCGTGCCAAAAAGGATTCTCCATGACTATGCGCTCGTTGTCAATAAACACAACTGCATAGCACTATGTTAAGCTTTCCAAAGCCATGCACGCTTTACCAAGTCTTCCCAACGACAGATCGAATCACCACGCGGTTGCCGTCAGTGTTGGGTACTCACGGCAGGCGATGTTGGTCAGGTGGCACTTCTTCGACGGCACCCACAGGTTGGAGGAGCCGGTATCGAACACCACACGGAACTTCTGCGGCGGTGTACCAATGCTGATGGGTCCATAGTACTGGGCCTGTGGACCGCACACATTCTGAACGTTCTTGGAGAATTAAGCCAAACATCGTGCAGGGGCTGAGTGCCACACGCCGCATGAACAAGGCAATGCAACTCACTTCTGAGCATATTTATCTCTACTTAATCATGTTTTGCCGTACATCACCAGGCTCACGAGCGATGAAATCTGACTGAGATTCCCACTGAGCAGCGAAGAACAGAGCCGCGGAGCCTACGACACGGTGACACAGACGTCAGCCTGAGGGCCGGAGCGGCCCGCCCGGGTCGCCGCGCCGCCGGTCACGTACGTCCAGGTAGTTGGAGAGCGGCTCCGGGTGCGGCCCTGGGGCGCCCCAGCGGCGGCGGATCACCTCGACGGCGGTGCCCACCTCCTGCAGCGCGCGCCGGGCCGACGTGAAGCGGCGCAGCGGCACCCTGCCGGAGGTCAGCCGGTCAGCACGCGCTCCGGCTCCGGCCAGCGCGCCGCGGCGGCGCAGCGCTGAGCACGAGCCTCTGTTCGACCGTGCCTCTTCCTTCCCCCCCCCCCCCCCCCCCCAAGGGCTCGGCATGACAGGGTCTGCACGCAGTACGTGTGCTAGTTCCGGGTACAGAACCGGCACACTCGGCTGAGCAGTTTAAGTCCCTGGGCTCAGAGCCAAGGCGTCATACTGAGGTACCCAACCGGTACGTTCGGGCTCGCAACTAGTGTGCGACAAACGTTTTTGCCCATTTCGTTTCCGTGGCATGAAGTAACCGTCCCAGGATATCGAAAGCCACGATAAATGACAGCTTCAAAATTCACGAGGAAGATGCTGCGTTGTCACATTTGCACACCCTTTGAGGGACGGAAGCCAGTCATCTGATCACGTTGGTCACTCGGCGGGTGCAAACTCCCTTGGGCACTGAATTTAACTGCATTAGCACCCACTTGCCTCAACCGCCTCGCCATCTCCACGATCGCAGACATGGGGAGGGGGAGGGGGAGCACCGCTATCGTGCTTTCCACAACCCATGTTCCAGAGGAAACCTGTTTGGAGCTGGGCATCGCACCCCGCGCGTGGTGTGCAGCCTCTACTACCGCCATTTTGCATGATCTCTTCCATTTAATCTGCCAGGTCGGAGAAATGAAGTCACGCTACGTTTTTCCCCGTCACCCCCTCACATCTTCGATGCTTCGATCCGCAAAGGAAAGCAGATAAATGCCAAAACATGCTTTTCATTTCCAGAGTAATGAGGGTGACAAATGACCTAAGTCGATAACGTTAATTTGCATGACATGGCACCTGCTGTCTGCATGCACCACATGACGATAGCGGTACAATATAGAAGTGCCCGGGAAAAGAGTGCAATTTCCTTGACGGGGGGGGGGAGAGGGGGGCTCTCCCAAACTTTGATAAAAGGTGCGCCAAATTCGCGGAAGTCTGTTATGGGGGGCCATTTCGGTGTATAGTTGGTCATTCCTTCGTCCTAAACACTGTAAATTATTTTGAGAAAACTACACCCCTGGTCAGAGGTCTGCTGACAGTGCTTCGAACGACTTGGAAAATGGAGGCTCGATGGCAATGCCTTCCATGGACCCAGCATGGCCAATGACTCGTCCCAGCCGATTTCATTGATGACATAACGCACACGTTAACAAATTTAGGTAATTCTCTGAATCTGACCTGATGTAGTGTTGCACTGGAAAGACTTCGAGGCGGGTTACGAGTACCGTCGCGCCCAATCATACCATCTCTCCACCCTCACTACTTTTGTACAGCGAAATCACGGCACAAAAAGGCACCAGTGCGCGCGGAGGGCCGAGTCCCGGTATTATGCCGCTGGTGGCTTTCAGGCCATTACCCCGTAACATGATCAGGCAGGAGTCTGACAATATACGGCTGACGCGCAGAAGTTTGAAAACCCGTCTTCCCATACAACTTCCTTACCGCCGGCTGAGACGTACTAGGGGAATCGCCGAAGCACCCCGGATGCTGGTGTATAAGGCACGCTCCCCCCCCCCCCCCCGGTGGGGGCTAACGCCTCAATGGCAGTTTAAACCTTGCGTGTAGAACAACCTGGTACGTACCAGGCTCAACCGCCGTTGGGGCACGCAAGGCGTTCGCAGGCGGACGTGGTGCGCACGAAGTTCGGGACCGGGCGCATTGACGCTGAGGGATAAAGCATGCACGTTTTACGAGACCGGGCTTGTTCAATAAGAATTTTGCGTCGCGTGCGTCGGGAGATGCGGCATCTCCCGGTTCCTGCCATCCTGCTTAACTGCCGTTCCCTATTTCCGCCGCGAATTGTGTGAAATTTTGGCTTAATAAAGACCAACGTGCTAGAAATGCAATGGCACATTATAACCCCTTTCACCAATTGCTGAATAATCCTTACCTTTAAGGAAAACCCATAATGTGATGCTATTTCCTATGCAGTGCCAATAAGTAATGCATAACATTTTTGTGTTCTAAACCCTTTAGAATGAATGGAATACAGACACGCTTGTCAAAATACGCAGCAACCCATTGAAGTTACCAGGCATTGTGGCTGCCACCATGTTAGCAGAAGGCCAAAAGAGCCAAATCTTGTGTTAAGTGCCTTCAGTAAATAGCCTTTTTGAATATGGATCCAAACTAAATGCCTAATGGCCAGTAAATGCATAATGCCCCATAAACATTCTTGATTTTACATCACAAAATGCAATTCTTCAAGCTACACTGAAAGGTTAATTTTTTCTGAAACAATGACTAATACATCAGCACATATGTGGGGCAGATGTGCCATGCATGTAAATCAGATTCAAATTGCCTTGCCCAATTGTCACCCCAATGCGTGATATTGCATAAAGCTGAAGGATGTTCCATATCTCACAATGCTCCTACACTAATCAATGGATATGCCACATCTGCATGAAACACAAAGAAAAGATGCACACTCCAGTGCTCTAAGAGCTTTCCACCTCTGATTACCTGGCCAGACCTTTCACATTCTTTGCTTGCCAGTTTGAGAGGGTAACAGATAATTTCAGGCTTAATCTTTATCTTAAAAGCCTACATCTTTTTAATAAGACAATCTTTCAAGTGCACAATTCTGCTAGGCACTCAACCAGTAAATTGCTTTTGGATCTGACCACTCCTAATGGGTACTGCAGGCTGAGGCACCCTTTTTCAATTAAAAGCTGCCCTGGTTTTCACCAATTCTGGAAAACGAGGAGAGGCATTCAAGGCTCGGGCTCTTTGGCATGGCAATTCAAACAAGGATGTTGCTTGAAAGCTTCACACTATGGCAAAGGTATTGACAAGACATTGCTGGATCCCAAGGGTGGGTCCTGGATCCCAATGGGTCCAGATTAGGAAGAACTGGGTTTTATGTTTTAGGGGGCTCTACACACATGTCTGGCATTGACTGTTTGGTACATACCATGTTTTAACCCTGAAAATGTTGAAACCTGATTGGAACAGATGAAGGTGGTGCAAAAACTCATCACCTGGTGTGATCACTCATCATTGAGACTGTACAGCACCCTTCCAATTTTGTGTAATTACTTTCATTAAAACTCTGAATCCACTTACCAGCATCAGCATCACAAGGCTTTAGATTCTAACAAGAGCAAACAAGTTCGACTGCCTATCACAAACACGCATAGAAATTGGGGATACATAACTCTTAACAACATGGGGATGGTGGCAGGCTGAGCAAGGAAGAAGGGGCTGCAAGCCTTCCACAAAATTGCACAAAGGTGACTTCCCAACATTTCACTTTTAAGTGCAATTTTGGATGGCTGTGGTCTGAAGCCCCCGACTGATAAGGTTCATTATCAACTACTAGGTTCATTGGTCGTGCCAGTCTCTACGCGGCGGATGAACTGGAACATTACGCGCACCAAGCACGGCTTGGCTTCTTTCGTGACTCACCTGGTCAAGCCATCTACACTCCCGTAGGCGCACAGCACGATGCATAAAGCTATCGCCGTCTTCATCTTGACCAGACACAAATTTGGCTTGCGAACCCCAGCCAACCACTGGTCAAACGCACTTCGCAGCCACAGACCGCTGACTCAGACCCTATCTTTGTTTACATCCGTCACCGCCGCGCGTGGTCACATGATGGTGACGTCATCAGCCGGCGGGGCCGCATCGAGCGGACTCCGGGGGGGGGGGGGGGGGAGCTGACACGCATGCGCCGTGCACCGCGATGGGACAATGGCCTCCCGATCGGTGGCCGGGGTTCAGCATTCGGTGGGGGGGAGGGGGGGGGGGGGAAGAATGATAAATTCGGCGGTGCACATCTCTCGAAGATGTTCCGCTGGACGGTACCAATCTAAATTCAGGGAAGCTACGGACCGTAAATGTTTTCGCACCGTGCCGACAGAATCAATACGCGCCCGCGGCGGCCCAGATATTAGTCACTAGTTCCGCTGGCTTTGAACATTGATGCAACCTCATCTCTAGAGCCCCCCCCCCCCCCTCCCCTCCCAAAGCCACGTAAAGCCCAGTGCTAGAAGCAGTGAAGCCGTGAATAAAAACTCCGGTACCGTTTCAATCGTGTTTTAACATCTGGACACTTCACACACTATCTACTCTGCCAAATATGTCTTGATGGCCAGGCCTGTGTTCCAGCCCAACCCATGAAGAATGTCATGACCCTAAAAAATGACGTTATGTTTACAGACAGGGGACTTGTATGAAGATGGCATCCATCCACATGACTTCTCCCTGGCCACGGAACCTTGCATGAAACGTTCCCTGTCGAGCTGCTCATGGTGCTTTATATGTGACAGCGCGCTTATGTGTTGCTCCATGACCAGCACCTCCGGCTCCTTGCTCCCAAACAGCCAGTTGAGTTTCAGTGAATTTGTATTCAATGTTAGGAATGCTTGATGACAGTCTCCCACATGAAAGCTGTGTGTTAGATGCAGATGGACCAAGATGACAAGACATGTAAGATGAACATACAACTGGAACAATGTCAATGTACAAAATAAATACTCATCATGGATGGTACTTAGCTCAGTTTACCCAGATTGCACAGCTCTAATCGGGTGCTCTCACATCTAGCTTCCAGGTGCTTCCGATGACCTTCCAGTTTAAATCGCACACTTAGTTCCTATGGTACACAAAAGTTTAGGCAGCAGCCTCTGCCACTTTCTCACTACTTTCTTCTGTTTCAACTGCATCAAGCTTGGGCTTTTTCACAGGACTGTCTTCCTTCTTGGTATCACCATCACCTCCAGTAGACTTCCGCTTCTCTGAAATAAAGAAACAAGGGTTAGATCATGTTGACGCCAACACTAAATGTTTACCCAATGGCAGTGCATACAAATTCATACTTGCAAACCAAGATTTGTATAGCCCACTTTACCACTCCATGATCCATTGCGCGACCAGTGACTGGGTAGCTCAAGGTTCTCAGCTCTGAAGACCATGGTGGGCACTTCTACACAGTACATACCTCCCTGCTCCTCTCCATTGGTTTCCTCTGTGGCCTTGCCATTCGACTCGGTGGTTTCTTCGTCGCCATTGACGGCAGCCTTCTCTTCAGTCTCCTTGGCCTCTGCCTCCTTAGTCTCCACCTCAGCCTCCTTCGGAGTCTCCTCCGGCTTGGTCTCCTCCACCACCTTGGTGGTCTCCTCAACAGTCCTGGCGGGAGAAAAAAACGAAATTAGGCATCAAGGGCTGTCGATGAGAGAACGCCCAACATGAACACCCTCAACCGTTCCTGCGAAAGATCCGCTCCTTAGATGCTAACCGATAATGGCTTCTACACATCACCACAGACGCAAAACTGCCAGTGACGTATGACACTCACTTGTTCTCCGTCGTGTCGGCCATGTCTTTCCTTCTTCACGTACTTCCGCGACTGACACCACGACCTCACTCTATCGCAACACTCCAACGACTGCGAATTTCGCGCGCACTCCCCTTGAATATCACGTGACACTTTCGACTGTTGGCGCATGCGCACACTGCTCATCGTGACAGTCACCAATGACAAAACGAAATCTCTTGCTTCCTTTGGAATATCTGTCTTTTTGCAAAAAATATCCTTCACAATGAACAAATACGTGTTTAAAAAGGCACACAAACTGTATTTTGTTATCAGAATACATTAAATTACGACAAACAAGAGGCAACTGTAATTTTTCGTGTATACTGGTGAATGCTCAGGACCTACTTAGGGCGCGTTCGCTAGGATCAACAAATCACTTGGTCATTTTTCTGTTAAATACTTATTTTTTGAAGAATATTACTTGATTTTTACAGTTTTGAGGATGCCTTGTCAGTTTTGTTCAATTTTCACTACCCAGAGCCATACTCTAGCCAAAGGTCATAGTCATTCACGAAAAAATGGTTTACTGTCTCGATGTATACGCTGAAAATAATACTTGGGATTCTCTCTTAGAACAGATGATTGTCCCGAACAAACTTTTGGTGCTGGTAAACACCAATGTGATATCGTAATGCTTTAACATGACGGATAAATATCCCAGACCATCCTGTGGCCGAACGTGGCCCAAAACCATGCAGCACATCCAGAAAAATCGTTTCTGAAAATTTGATTAGTATCTCCGTCATGTGCGCTAGCTAAATCTTTGGGAAAAATGTCGCATTTGATAAATCGAGACAAATTATAAAATGAAAATTGATCATCATCCAATAATTATTGCGAACAGGCCCTTCTGTCGGGAAGATGTCACTAAAATACTGTTCCGTTTTGCTACTGGTATGTAAATATCAGCCAACAACAGAAAACTTCCAAAAAATCGAAGAACAAAGAAGGGGTGATGTGTGAAGTTTTCGCCCTGCAGAACCGCGGATTCGATGGCATATTTGTTTGCGCAGATAGCGTTACGTTTGGTGCCAGGCACGAGGCTCTACCGCGATCGCGCCAACCCATGTATGATTTGGATCGTTTGGACCATTGTATGTTATTAATGCTCATTCCAGCAGATTTTACCCATTAATTTTCTCAAATAACTGGTTGCTTTGGAACTTTGGATTCGTGAAACGTACCGCAAATTAGAACATTTGATTGATGGATGAATACTAACCTACTCATGACGTTTTATCCAAGCGATGGTTAGAAGAGGCCAGGGCTGAATGCAAAGGCTCGTAGGTTTGTCAGCAGGGGTGCAATATCACCAAAAACAATTTGGGGTCTTGAAAGGGCGGCTGAGATGGAGGGCTGCCTGGGGAAAAATAACGAAAACCACCCCAAAATACATTAAAAACGAGCATCTTTCCGGATTTGACCAACTGTCTTTGCTAAGTTGGGGTGCCTGAAGCTCTTGCAACTGAATAAGAAACTACATCCCTGCTTCCCGGGCTCTTTATGTTATTTCGCTTCAGTTGTCTGCACTGCCATCTTGCGCTATCATAGCTTTTCCACCCGTCACTGCTGCTCGAACAAGCGTAAAGGTTGTAGATAAAAATCGCGTTGATTCCACAAAGGTCCCAAGCGCGTTGAAGGCGGGGATTTGTCGAATCTCTCACTCAACATGTTTTTTTGGCACCCGAGCCACTGAACATTCCCAAATTTTAACGTTATGTTCGTGTTCAAGGCCATAATGGAAGAATGAGCTTGCATTTTACATTGCCATTGGACCTCCGATCGTTTATGAACAGTTACGCATGCGTGAATCGCAATTGGCAGCTGGTGCAAGACATTCAGCGAATTCAACGCATTCGTTGCTTTACGTTATATGCAACCAATTCGAGGGAAGGGAAGATCACAAAACTCTTACCAAAGACATGCCATTGTTGATAAGCCATGCTTTCTAGCACCGACGGCGGCACGCATTTTTGGTTGTCGGGGACGGGACCATGGGTGGCCCGGGTCATCTCTGTGTGATATCATGGGTGGCCCGGATCATCTCTGTGTTCCGGTGCTTCACAGTTTCACCTCTCAAACTTTTGGGTTGATTATGGCCCAAGTGCATCAAGTTAACCGATTCGTTATTCCCATAAGTGGTATGATCTGTTGTAGGCGATGCGAACAAGCATGATTTTTGGTATCGGTGCACTGTGAAGCTTTTCAGTTCCTAAGCAGCTAATATTCGATAACTCCTTTACCCACTGGGTCTAGCGTTTGAAACTAGTCTCATTCGAAACCTATCGAAGTTTTGCATTCACCATGTTCCTGTGAGATTTCAGAAAAACGTTGCTCTGGTAGCGTAGGGTGGGGTTGGGGGGGGGGGGGCAGAACATTGCTCCCAACCCCCAGAGCTACCGAGACCGACAGGCTCGATATTATTGGGGCAACGAATTTCCATTAAGCGAAACCAAATGATTTTTTGGAATTGTTTTGGAAATTTGAACGGGGAAAACCTTACTGAGAATTCAGAATATTTTTGAAGACTTCCAGTGCTCACATGCACTAGCCAATTTGCACAGACGGGCCGCCATTTCATGTTCTCCACAAATGCGAGTTCAACTCCCACGCGGCTTCAGCGCATATATGGGTTGGTTTTTATTGCGCCAATGTTTGGTTTAGTTTGGGTGGCAACGACGTACTGCATGTTGTTCATGACGCTTGGCGAACATAAAATATATACCGCAAGGTAATTTGCAAAGCTGAACACTGTTCATGACACATGGCAAACATCAAATACATACTGCAACGTAAGTTGCAAAGCTAAACATAGCCCTATAAGGAGGGCATTTTAGCATCCGTATCTTTGAATACCAAGGTGCGCTGTTTTGACATTCTTTTGCGCGTAGTCAGTACTTTTCACGTGTGGTTCTGGCCATTACATTCACGACTTTCATTGTACCACATAAATATGCGTGAAAACATGTCCCGCACCATCCGGTCGTGCGCACCGCACAAGAGAAGAGATTCCCAAAAGATGAAAACCTAGGGTTACCTTTATAACAATTTTGTTGATACTTACGCATCACTTACCCGTAGACGTGGACGTAGAGCAGTAGTATGCAGCAGAACAGATACATAATACACAGCACATTGGTACGAATGGGAGTTATGTTCGAAGTTAAGTCAATGAGCTTGCTGGTGGAAACATTTCGATGCTGCTTGCGGGCGAAAATGGTTTCTCCGACCGAAAGAGATCGTCCGTTTTGTGGCGGAGAACCGGCCGCACCCGATCGATTCTCTGTATGCGTTACAAGTATGCACTTGCCTGGGTAATTTTTCCGAGCAAGCCAGATTGGTTGGAGTACATACGCTTTGGGCTTCGAAATAAAATACTGTGGGAAATGATCAAGCAATGAGGGTGCAACTATAGTAAGCCCAAAAAATCAGATTGTTGTGAAATATTTTCCAGAGAACGCGTAGCGTCGCAAAGTTTTCGACTGTTCGCAGCGTTGTCAGTATCGGGTATTTTGGTTGGACATTTTTTGCGGAATTAGGCTATAGCTGTGCAATGTATTATTTCCTTTAAGTGACGACGTAATTCTTTTTTGGCATTCAGCAGTCAAGTTCAAGGCATCAGACGCAGGAGCTCTTGCGTAAAACGGCCGCAATGGGCATGAATGCAGATGCGAATAACTTTGATTTCTTATGAATGGAACAATTGTTCGGCCCAGCGTCCTCGTCTGGTGTGCTAGAACATTCACAATGTTTCGACCAGTTAGCTCTACAGTTATCATCAGGTGTTATCGAGTCTTGAAAAGGACTGGATGGTGTTTGACTTTCAGCCATGCATACTTCACAACCCAAGTTTTCTGCTTGGAATTGCTGGGATTCGAACTGGGGTCTTCAGATTGCGAGTCCCGCGCTGTATCAACGGAATTAACCGGAAAGGGCTGGTTGGTTCACTTGGTATACACATCCTATGGAACCCGATGAGGACGACAGCCCGAACAATAAATCCATTGGTGATACTAATACCACGTGTCAATCCTTTCGTAATCCAATTTTCAGTTGTTGTTTTTTTCTCAACATACGTAGGCCTTGTGAGCAAGCCACGCCACTGTAATAAACAGCTTGCAGAAAATGTCAATGGTAAAGTGTAAGGCGTATGTATACCGATGGTGTACCTCGTTCATCCGATATGGCCTCATTCGAGGTACGCTTGTCTAGAGCTGAATATGCGCGAACACCGAGATGTGCTTCATCCACTTATCCCAGAAAACAAAGACATGATTTTATTTACATTCGCCAACGTCCGTATTGCTTCTATACTGAACTAAAAGCACAGTTAAACTATGACCGCCGTGTTTGAGCTTCAGCAACTCCTCGACGCACGAACAGTTTATCCGAGGTGCAAATCAGAGGCGATTGGTAGGGCATGTTAATGAGCATCTTCACATACCGATAGCCCATAAAAACTTCATCAGTCGTCTGCTGTCAGAGCACACATGTTTCGTGCTTTGTGAAGTGTCATCAGAAATTGTGCTCAAAATGACGGAACCAAGGCGGAAAGATTTGACGCTCAAAGCTTTTCTCTGTAGTTTCACAATTTGGAGGGAAACTGTCTCAGGTTACTTCAGGTTGACTGCTCCGTGGTCAAGGCCCGGGTCAGCTGCCCAGGTTGTCCACCGGGTCAGCTTATAGCATCATCGTTGCCATGGCGACGGTCGCCAGAAGCTCTGTGCGGTCGACACCGGAGCACTAGGTGCGATACAATTAAGGGCAGTGTTTGACATTTCTTTGGCGTCTAAATGAACTACCCATTTCGAAGACCTTTCGGTGCGGTTCACCGCCCTTTCTTTCTCAAAACCCAAACCACCCTGATTTCTGAGCTGTACGCCCGCAAAATGGGGAGAGCATTTCGGGGAGAGTCTATCCAGGTCACCTTGACATTCATGACGTCATAACAACGTCATTCAGATCCTGCCATTCCATGCGGCAATCAAGGGCGATAAAAAGCAAATGGTTGAATTCTTCATATCTGACGTTCGTGAACATGCTTTCCAGGTATAATGGCCGTCGACTGGTTCTGTCAATGTTGTGTAAGGTACGATGACGTAATTAGACAATGCCGTTTCTTGGAGACTAAGTACTCAACAGAGAAATTGTGCTGTTTAGAGGAGTCTTTTCTACTAAAAAGAATACCAGTGGTTGTAAGTGAGCTTTTTCATCATATTTGATGATTGTTTTGATATCTTCAGGTGAGAAATATTCCCTTTTAAAAAAGGAATTAGGGAATATCATCCCGTAGCTGCTAATAGTTGCCTCGAGCATACGAACCGATCGCCACAGAATCATTACCAGTTGATGCATCATGGTCGATGGTCTATCCCTCATACAGGATGGTAACTGTGCGTCAGGTGACATATCACCGAAAATGCTCCAAGCTGGGCAATTTTTTTGCAGACAACCTCATGCTATGTGTACGCATGCATGCTACGAGTATATGGAACCGATCACCATGAAAGTTTCACTAATTTGTGCACCATTGTTGATAAAATAGCATGTCCAGAAGATGGCGAAGTTCGGTCAGGTTACAGGTTGCCACCAAAAAAACGTCCAAAATCGTCAAATTTGCTTTCGGCAACCCTATGCTCCGAACTTATGGAACCGATCGTCACAAACCTTTCACATCCTTTGTGTTATGCTCCACAACCTGTCTATTCCAGAAAATCGTGATCTCCAGTCATGTCAAAGGTCATCAAAACCACCCGAAACCGCAAAAGCTGCTCGCAACGCAACACAAAACGCTCTGCTTGGCCAGGACTTTAAAAACTGCCCGCAGGAGCCACTCAAATTGGCTGAAGAAAAGACATGGTAGGGTCAGAGAATAACCTCAATTTTTGGATAGACCTGCCATCAAACCAGGTATTTGACTGCTTAAGCTGTTGGCAATAAATGATAGCCACTGCCAGTGATTATATTTCGTAATTCATCGAGCGCACATCACCACTCGTAACCGCCCGCGGACCAGCTCCTCCACAAATTATGCATTTCAATGCATCACTGCTCATAGTCTCACTTCGCGAGTCAACCGTGATCACCGCGATCACTCTATCACCAGTGATCATCGGTTACAGCATAATGTTGTTGCTTTTCTAAGTGTTGCCTATGTTGTCTAAATGAACGCAGCTGCCCGACGCCTCAGATACGCTCCCCGGTAAGGCTTATGTAAACTTGAGATGCAGTTGCTGTCACCCCACCAAACAACACTGTGTTGTGGTGTGGTTGTGGTTGTGGGGGCGCAGTGGGAAAACGATACCGCCGTCAGACCTTGACATTTTCTGGTGGTTAGTCCGTTGTCTTTCGGCGGGCTTGGGCCGGCAAGTCAAGCGCCTCCGTACTCGCAATTTTTCACGGCCTCGGCGGGTATGTCACACCACCAAGTGTTACCTCCTGCAACAGATGAAGCATGAACGCGTGACGTGACAGGCCGTTTTTCTCCGCAACTACTTAAGTTTCATGTAGGGGACGAGGATAATGCATATGAAGGAATAAGTGCCTTATGGCCGCCAGTCACGGGAAGGAAACCCGCGGGATGATTCCCTTCTGGTTAAATAATATTTGGGAGCCGCAACAATGTCGGTCTGAAGTGGACTTTGCAAACTGAAGTTTACAGATCTCTGTGGGGTGTGGACGTCCATGCCGCGAAAAAGATGTCTGCTGACGTCGCCAGGCGAGCCGGGATTGCGTCCAGGCATGAACAACAGCAACGATTACAACGCGTGAGGAGCCTATGACAAGCGACAACGTCACCAGCAACCAGAACGTGAACGTGATGCACAACAGCACGGATTCATCGTCTGTGCTGAGTGCTGCCAAAGTGCTGCCAGATCCTCCGTACGTTGAATAGTGATTGGTTGCCTCCCAATTATTGATAGGATTGTCAGACTGAAATATAGAATGATTTGTGCGTACAACACGACATTTATTAAAGACGCAGCTAGTCACAACGATGGCACATATGACTGAGCGATTTCGCTTGCAATGGATGAGAACAAAACGAGCCGTTGCTGCACCAGGTCATTTTTAACAGGCTGGTACTGAGGCCCCACAATGAGCACTTGAAGCTTTTTGCCTGCTTTGAAAGCAGGTTATGTTGGGCACAGATGAGTGGCAAGGAATTGAATTAGCTTTCTCTTGAATGTTTGCTGAATGAGCAGTCACCGAGGTCTGTGAGAGGCCATATTTGCTTGCGTGTTACTAGTGGACATATGGGACATCATGATACAAAACAATACTCAAACAGGTTTGCTAAATTGCGCAAATACGGAGAAGTCAAGTGTTTAGGGCTTCGTTTAAGCCCACATGTGTGACCCATCAACACCAAAACGCTGCCCAGCGTGTGCGTGAAGAAGTACGGCTCAAGTCTCCGCTGGTCGTGGACGGAGAGGCGTGCGGTTGGCGCGGTTGGCACCGCCCAGCGGACCGCGCCTGGCACCTGGGAGACGGCGCCTGGCGCATAGGGGGCCGCGCCTGACACCTGGGGGACCGCGCCTAGCGCATAGGGGGTCGCTCCTTGGGCCTTGGGGAGGTGGACCTATCGCCTAGGGGGCTGCGCCCGGCGCCTGAGGGGCCACGCCCTGCGCCAGGCGCCTAGCGGGCTTCCGGCCGGGCCCGTGCGCTGCCAGACGGGCGAGCAGGGCGGCGGCGGCCGTCTCCAACGCCTGCAGCACGGAAATCAACGACAGGCCGAGCATAAGGCCCACTACGCCGCCGATCTCGCCGAGTAGCGCCGACAGACTGTAGGCCCACTGCTGATCGTGCACGGCCACGTACGGTGTAAAGTAGCGCACGTCCAGAGAAAAGGAGGAATCGCGAGCGACTTTCCAGCGTCTCGCCTCGTTGGACAGTCTCCTGGTCGTTGCGGCGTTTTTGATGGTCTTGGTGCGGTACAAGATCTTGCTCGGGGTGAACACCAGGTGGCGACAAGGCTCTGGACACCGACGGTGGCAGTCGGCTACGGAGGCTTTCGCGGCCCTCGGCGATGTGAACGCCATCTGCACAGCTGAGTAGTTGGCAAAGTTGCCGCAGAGCGGCGCGTCGGGCACCATGCCAGTCACGTGGCAGGCCAGGCCGGAGGCGGCGGCTGTGGCGGCAGTGTAGCAGGCCAGAGAGCAGCGGACGCGACTGTAACCGGCGCGAGACTCGCACGGGTCTCTGCGCCGGTTGAGCTTGTGGTACTCGTTCAGGGAGGTCCGCACGTAGGTCGGTCTCCTCAGGGGCACGTCTGCTGACTTGAGGTTCTGGATCCAGGGCAGCGTGGTGAACGGGTCAGCGGCATTGTGCAGGTACAGGGACAGCACCGCGGCATTGCCGGAGTACTCCTCGAACTCAAGCTGGTCCGTCAGTGCCATCGCACCGTTGAGACCGCGGTAGACCTGCGAGGGGAGGACGAAACGGACATGATAGCTTCCGCTGACATCCATGCCCTCGCTGACGTTGGGTGTGAAGGTGAAACAGTCTCCAGCCGGCAGGTGTAGTCGGCGCTCCCAAGAGCCGAGCTCCTCACACGGCCGGCCGAGCAGCCTGCAACCCCTCAGCGCCTGCTCCGCCCCGACTGCGGCATGCCGCAGCAGCCAGGGCACGGTGTCGGCGCCACGCCGCTCCCAGTCCAGCTCTGCCAGCGAGGAGTCCGGCTCTAAGCTCAGGTTGGCCAGGCCGGGCGTGTAGAGGGCGCGGTTGCAGAGAGTCAGGGCCGGCACCGGCAGCTCCCGACGCAGCTCCGTGCTGCTCTGGCTGGTGACGGACTGGGCCAGGAAGCGGGTGAAACAGTCGTACAGCTGGATCGCCGTCACCAGCACGGCCGAGGTGACCAGCACACAGCGCAGCAGCTGGCGCGATGGCGACCGAGGCGACATCTGCGGTTAAAACGGAGAAACTGCGAACATCTGGCCGTGGGCCGGCGACGAGCGCGCGTAATGATCGCCATCCAGAGCGGGCTGATCAGATCGCAAAACTGGCGATCAGTCAAACATGATGGGCAAACTTTGCTGCAAAGATCAGCACATGACACAGGAGGGGCATTACAACGGGTGCAAACTCGTGACTCGGAAAGCATCCGTCCCCATAACTTAGTCGGCTACCACACCTGTCTTCTGATTCACCCATCCTTGGCGGGTGGGATGGAATCGCGAACCCAGTGGGAAGCGCTCGCAACTCATGCCTGATCGGGATGGTCTGGGGCCGGTGTCAGCGGCCTCGCTTAAGGCTACGTGACGTCAGAGAACAGCATCGGCCGAGCCGTGCATCGCGGCAAGCTTTGGACGCAGAATTATGTCGTTGACCCGGAGTTTCACGATCGGATGATGGAGACAGGGCTCAAGCAGCAACACGGCTCCGCGTGGGCGCTGATCCCAGATATCGATCCAAAGAAAAGTTTCGGACTAAATCTTAAAATGCAAACGAAAGCCGTCCACGCTTGTCGCAACCGCCTGATTCGGCTTATTCTTAGACGCAGCGATGACGGAGTTCCTGCAGTGTCAATAGCGCGTGTAGAAGCGGCAGAAACGTTTGGAAAATAGGACAGCTGCCCCCGCCCATCTCTGGAAGCATGGAAAATTCGCCGATGGCGTTGTATGGAAATAGTGAAGGCATTGTCGCGTCGCCGTCGTTTCCCCCTATGTCTTTGGGGGTCCACCAATATCGCCTTGAAATGCATTAATTAACAACAGACGCGGCACCTTTCCCACAACCCATTCTCATGCGCGCATTAAAACCGTGTTTAAAACCGAACAGGGAGGGCATGATAATTTCCATAATGGTAGCCTTTTTCATTACATACTAGACTGATATCTTATTTGGATCATCCGAAACTTCCGAAAAATTGGACAACAAGAAGTGTAACCCATGGGGCCTCGTCAAGAGTCTCAAAAGTCATAGATCTGCACTGTGAAACAAGGTTAGTTCCATCGTTATGCATCTACTCGCCATGTCACGTTTGCAAAAATTTGTGATTGGTTCCCATGGGACTGAATGCGCAAACATAACCTGATGCATTGGCACTTAATGGTGAAACAAAAACACTTCGGGATCAAAATCCAACCGGCTATTTTGAAAACTTTTGACATCTTTCGTGCATTGCTCATCACTGAGAGTGAAAGGGGTTCATAAATGTTGTGAAAAGATTGAGTTTGAAAAATAACACAGCGAATCGAGGAAATGCTACGTGAGTTGTTCATTGCATCAACGAGGAGCATTATTCCCATAGATAAGACAGTAGCATTAGCCTTATTCCTCGGAGAAACCAGGAGAATGGAGATATAGTTGGGTTGATATATTTCTATTATCAAATTTTGATATCAAAATCAAACAAAAAATATTATAAAAACAATGTTTCGATAAAGGCATGTTGCCAAAATATCAACCCAACTTTACATCCATTCTCCTATTTGTTTCCGAGGAATGAGGCTGATACTGCTGTCTTATCTTGTCTTATCTATGAAATGCTACGTGCATAACCTTAAAGTGCTGTCCAAATCAAATACCATTGTGAAGTCTATACGTTCACCATAGGGCGAGGATTCAAAATGCACCACGATTTTCGGGTCTTCCAGTCGCATTATCTTAATCTCATGATAAAATTTACATTTTAAAGTTGGCATTTGCTGTGCTATGCTCCATAGTTTCGTGCCGATCTACCATGCTTTCTCCTTGTGGTGTAGGTGGTATTCTCCTCCTTGCTTTCCGTACACGAGCGTCCGCAAGGCGTTCATTAAACTGGTCATCAGTGTTTCTTTTGCACAATATTTCAATCAGTGCTTTGTTTCTCTTACACAAAGTATCCCTGGAAACAGATTACAGGATGTCTGGTATACGCCCTTCTTTTGCGCGCATTTCCCTTTCAGTTCATTCATACATATGCGACTTATACTACCCCCAGCTGGAGACACAAGGGTTTGTAGCTCTGGTCGCACTAGCATGGGGTTTAAACTAGGACCACTAGTCTACCCTTCCCTAATGCCACGTATACCACTCGATCGCACTGCGGTGTTGACTTGCTTACGCAGCTGGTCATCTATGAAGGGGAGTTTCACGTTCACGTAATTTGCATGTCTTGCCTTTTTACTCCTTCTAGCAAGCCAGTTGTAGTGATAAATTGAAAGCGTGCGGCACAAACGGCAGAGCTCTCTCCGTGTTCCTGACGTGCATTCTCACGGAAAACGAGGGGCATTTGTATAAAGACTACGCGTACACGACTGTGAATTAGACGACATCTGCACCGTTCTCCGCATCTGTGTAGCCTCCAATTTCTGTCATCTCCGAGCTGTGTAAGCGGGCTGATCCCACCGTACGATAGAGTGGTATACGCGGCCTTAGGGTAGTGAAGACTAGTGGTCCTAGTTTAAACTCCATACTTGTACGATCAGCGCTACGAAACCCTGTGTGTCCAGCTGGGGGCAGTGTTGGTCATGCATGTATGAATGAACCGAAAAGGAAACGCACGTGAAAGAAGGAAGTGCACAAGATATCCTGAAATCTGTATTCAGGGATATTTGATGTGAAAGAAACAAAGCTAGTGACCGATTTAATGAACACCTGGGAGACGCACGTTTACGGGAGGGTACATACCACTAGACGAACACGTGGTAGATCGACATGCATTAAGGGAGCACGGTACGACAAATAACAATTGAAAAGGTGTAGTTTAGCAACAGCGGAAGGCAGTGCGGACATCAAGGCGCAAGAACGCTACGTTTTCGGAATCCTCGCTTTTGACTGAACGATCAAACTTCATCAGGGGGCATGGTTATACCAACGCTTGAAGGTTATGCACGTTCCAGAGGCTCAGATGTTCGTGGTGGCTGATGATCGAGGTTAGTTATGTTCTTATTTAATACCCTGTATGAGGCTTTGTTAACTATCAGCTTTGTAGCTCGTTGTTTTTTGCAGCATTTAACGTAGACTCTATGCGAATTGCTAGGAGCTTGGATGATTTTTAAATTTTTTAGTGGCAGTCTGTATGATGTAAGAACAATAGCTGGATTCCCATGTCTTATCTCTTAGATGTGCTATTCTGCTGAGCTTTTTTGAACCCTTCTCACTCTTGAGTAAGAGCCTAGCAGGCTGTTTCCATAGCATTCATGGTCTTTCTTAATACTGTGTAATATGCCAGGATCACAAGTTTGATGCCATTGCAGGCAGCTCACGAAGTACCTGAGCTTTGACTCCTTAGAAAAGTCCACACGCTCCACTGATGCCCAACCAAAATAGTTTAAGAATATCCGCAAATCCTAGGATGTAACTAGCTCACGGAAAGGCAAGCAATTCAGTGGACAAGGTAACTCTTTGGTGAAGTGGCTTTTAACGGGACAGACGTCGTTGTGAAGCCTTTTTTGGAACACCAAAAATACCACTCTGGAACAGTCTAGCTTCTTTTTTACTGTACTGCCCGTGTGATCTGAATCAGCACTGCAACAGGAAAACAAACATTATTTCTAAACATGCGACAGGCACCCCAGTGACAAAAAAGCACCAGACGAGACATGAGCCGTCTCTCCACACATCTGTGAGCTGGTGCGGAGAGGGCTGTGTAAAATACACGGCTGATTTCCATCTACAGAAAATAACTCCCCGTATCGTGCAGCGTAATTAGCCATGCATTATACAGGCATCTTTTATCAAATACGCCCTCTACGACGTTCAGCGTAATTGCTCACAGAAGATGGACACATTCTGCCATCTGTATAATTGGGCGCTTCTGTCAAATAAGCAAGCAGTGTGTGATGACAAACCTCCATAGAAGCACTAGACGACGGGCCTCCATAAAGCAGCGCAGCAGATATAAGGCGTAGCTCGCGACACAAAATGGCGCCCTTTATTGGAATCAATGTCCCTGATCTGCGGCAGATCACGGGACGGAATATTGGCGGGCTTGACAAATAGGCGGGTGCCCACCGAGATCAAGCGAGTGATGCGAGTCGAGAGCAACCCCTTTTAAGTCAAGGCCGCAACACTTGATATTAAGAGTGGCTCGTTTCGGAAATGGGCACCAGATTTTTGTGACAATGGTTCATGTTCCAGAAAATTTTATGCAAGGCTGCCCACACATATTTTGTACGCACCTATCCCGTTTATGGCCTTTGTTTGCAGGGGCACAACCAGGAATCCCTTCAGAGGTGGGCATCGGAGAAGGAGCTCAGTGAGAACGCATCACGCTGATTTTGTACTTTCTATTAGAAGCCGTCTATGGTGAAAACTGCAAAAATATTGGTTTAAAGAGGAGTGGCCTAGGCCCCTTTGGCTGCACTTGTGTTTTTTTTTGCATGCCAAAGTGCACAAAAGTGGTAGGAAGCCCCACCTCAGATGTTGTGGGAAGACGATCGCTCACCGTTTGTCACACGGGTCACGGTCGGTCGGTTCAAAAATACGGGTGTTACGGTCCGTACCACGCCTGCTCGGGCGCTGCCGCGCACTGTTCTAAGCCTGGCCAAAGGGAACTGCATGGCAACGGTGGATTGGCCGAAACATGCCGCCGCAAGGCGAGCCAAATGATGAACGTCGCCTGGACTACATGGTATATCAGCAAACAAGCCGGCTCACTTCTTCAATAACGCTTAATAGTTCGCTTTACAACGGGTCATGTTAACTATTTGTCACAGCGGAACAGGCACGTGTGGCGCTAGTGTCAGAGCATTTCTTCAAAGGGTTTGCATGATAGAGTCGGACGTGGCGCTTTAGAACCTGCAAAACATTCCAAATGTGATCCCTATTCAGTCAGACAAGAAGCGTCCGTTTCATAATCGTGAAACTTTGAAGGCACCGTTGAACTTCTTGACCAGCTGGGCGTGCTGTCTGAATGCAAATCATTTGACAAACTGTCAAACTACGTCATTGGGTAACATGCAGGTCGTTAGATAATGGAATGTTTAGGACGGGTGAATCCCAAACCTGACACTCGGCTCAAGCGGCATCTGGTCAACGCTCGTTCTCCGGTCATCGTGTATGTGTGCCGCACTGGTACCGCCCGCCGTGAGTACAATCCTGTGTCAGGTGTTCACCCTTGCACTTGTGCAAGAGAGACATCCTGACCGAATGCGGTCGAATATCATGACTGCTCACACATTTCTAAAGCGCTGCAACGTCAACGCTGCAAACGTTGACGCGCGATT